TCTTGTAATAGCATTTATCACTTGTTCTTGTAATAGCTTTATACGCATTTCAAGGCTACAAGAATGAGTATGGCGATATTTATTTGATCCCAAAAACATATCTGATTACGAAATTTTGATTTGTCGCATCGTTTCGTCCAATATCAGGTCTACATAATTATCAAGCATATTTTCATATTGCTCTGTCTTAGGCTTTTCATTTGTCACATCATCGAACTCGGCGTCTGGCTCAACCTGAAAATTCCATTTTTGAAATTACTAACATTACTCCCATTTTACTGAAGTTGGGAAGATGACTAAAGCGTAGTTTGGTTTCAACATTGTAAAATGACCTTTACGTGATACCTTTTGTGATGATTGTGGGATGCACTTTACGGTACCAAACGATACTCGTCGACCACTATTTTTACCAGGAATGCGTCCCGGCAAAGATAAAAACGTGTTATCATTTGTTAAATCATTCTTCTCTTTTCCGGTGCTCTCATCATTCCTTGCTTTCATTTCACTAATTTCACTAATTGTTTTTGGTTTCAGTTCTGGAATTTGATTACTTAAATTTATTTTTCAAATTTACAAAAAATTGCTAAATAAAGCTACGAATCGCAGAGTTGAATGTTTTTCATCTACCGATAGGGGAGAAGATGGACAGGAGATTCGTCGTTAGTACTGGACGCTTTCACTTGACATAATTAATTGCGCCGGTAAGTCCAAAGTAGGATTCTAATAAGGAGGAAAAAACCGACCTGGAAATAGTTGTGCCAAATTCAAATGATAAAGAATCCCATCATCTCTGTAGGCGACGCGTTTCAAAAGGTCATTCGAGATCAGCAGCTGGGTCAAGTCAAATGCTCGAGGAAGAGCTTTGCTTTCTGCATAAAAGATGCTACCAAATGGAATAATTCGAATCTGTGCAAAAAAAAAAAATTGCGCATTCAGAGGTATCAGTGACAGTATCAGAACGGAGTTTCATGATTGAAAATCCAGAACTTTGTCGAATCGTGGTCCTTTCCTCAACTTTGACAATCGCCACCTTCATGATCTTCGTTCTATTCCAATTATTTGATTATTTATTTTCGGAACATTATAAACTTGTGGTAGTTCGGTAAATTGTGAAAAAAACAAAATCTATGCACAAAGTTATTTACTGTGTATTGTAAGGAAAGTTCATCGAAATACTCCACGACGACACTTAAGGCATGTGATAAATAAGGCCATACGGATTTTATCGGCACTGTATCAGAATTGTCATCCATAATGGCGTTATCAATTCTACCCGACAACTCCAATGTTTCTGCATCATGTTTTATGATCGCAATCTTGGCCTAAAGCATTGAGTTTGTTTCTGTCAATTAATTTTATTGAGTATAATAACCAGACTAAAACTCTTTTAAAAAAGCTAATGATAGGAAAGTAAACTTCTGATGTAGGATTCTAAATCAGCTAGGAAAGTTTTGAGTACTGGTACATCCTATGGGATTTGGTCTCATTTTTTAACTTGTAATATTTTGCTATCTTTCATCCATCGGAAATCTTTTATTTGATCAAAAAAAAATTTTCAACTTTAAAACAAACAGCTTCGAATCTAAAAAGCCCTCCATGGATCCATTCATACTGGTATTGCCATTTGTAAGCATTGTTGATCTTTGTCACCAATTCAAATAATTCACTTCTCGCGAACCATCTTTGAGGAAATGCTATCTTAAAAGTTATTTGAGCTTCATCCGGTTGTGGTAGCGAAGTCCAATGTAACGCCTGCAAATGGCATTTCATTTTGAAATCTGTATTGTAAAGACTGGAATTTTCAATGACCACCGGATGTAATTCAGAATTGGCAGCATAAATTTTCAACGGGATAAGAGCATAATCTCATACATGGTTTGGTGAGAAAAAACAAAATTTTGCAAGAAAAAAAAATCAAAATATTTCTCGGGCTGATTACCGGTGGTCTTTGGGAAACTGTCGTTGTCAACTGGTGGGTGCACTTGATGGGCGTTTTCACTTTCAAGGCTTCTACCAAGTTATTCTGAAGTCGGGGAAAATCATTTGTAGAAAAAAAAAGTTTGAGTTTTTCTAATCAAAATCTTGCAAGTGCCAAAAAATGCCCTGTAAAGACTCCAAAATTTAAAGTGGAAGTAGATTTTAGAAATGAATGATTTAAAGAAATAATAAACAAATATGAAAATTAATAGGATAAGTAAAAGAAGATCGCTTAAATTATTCAGACTTATGTCAAGAATGGGATTAAATTAGCTTGGATGCCCCGAAGTCAAATAATAATGCGTATGATCGAGTCTATTGGTTAGTCAGAAACAGAGGTATCATTCCACAAATTACTTGAAAATTAGGCTCGGATGATGAAAGACAGTAATATTCATCAGAAGTATTATTGATCCAATGATTCAGTTTTTGTACACGTTCTTCCTGAGCTTTTGCGCCTTGCAATGCGCTAAAAAACACAATTTTTATGGTAAAGTTAGGCATTTAAAAAGTTTTAAAAGGGTTGTTTTGATTTTACGATCTTTAAAGTTCTATGAAATTTTCATGCGTTAATCCGGAAACCTTAATTTCATTATTTCATCGTGCCACAGCTGTCTTCTGATGGATAATGATTCCTGAATAATTGATTCTATAAGCATCATATCTTCATCGCTACATTCTTGTTTAATGAAAATAATCGGTGATTTTTCCTAAAAAACGATGTGGATTATTTCCAATCCAATATAAGTGTTTGCGCAATCTCATAACTTAATATTTCCAGATGAACCACTCATAAGGATTTAAGAGGAATCTCCTTTCCTTAGCTTTTTCTCTTTTTTTTTTTTTTTTCAATTAAGTTACTATGGAAACCGTATAGTGAGAATTTAGTCATTTAGTTTAATTCCAGTTTCAAGAACTCTTGTACTGCCAAAGGACAGAATCATTAAAAGTAGCTGCATTTGAGCGAATAACCGAGACTAAAGACAAATAGTAATTACTGTTCTATTTATATCACCCGGGAAGATTGGGACATATTTCGCTAAGCATTCAAATCAGACAGCTCCATGTTTTGTACTTGCTTATCGCCTCAAAGAATGTTTTGTGTTTTTTTTTCTTTTTTTTTTTGGGAGATGTAAAAGAATTAGCGCATTCTATGAATATGAATACTATGCAAAACTTGTCATAGCAATGGTCATTGTAATTGAAGTGACCATCCCTTATAAATTTTTTCTTTATATTAAATAAATGGCCATAAATTTAATGGAGAGAAAAAAAAACCGAAATTCTAACTATTATTAAAAGAATTAGACAAACAGATCCTAATAAATTGTTTTAATTTGCTCGAAAAATATCAATGCATGCATGTAAACTTCCCCCTCAATGACTTCTCCAAGAAATGAAAAGTTAAAACTAAAAATTAGAAACTGAAGATTTCGTTCACTGAATTGCTCTCATTTCAAATTTCTGTTCTAAATGGAATTACCGGATGTAAAATTCATTGCAAAGAGTTGCTACTATCAGTTCAATTAGCCAGGAAATAAAATCACAACATGATATACTAAAATTAATATTTTTTCATTTTTTTTTTTTTACTAGTAA